TAATCTTATGTTGGTGATATTATTTTGAGTGTACAATATAATGACTGAACATTTTTATAACTTGCACTGTGATCACTCCACTAATTCCAGTAATCATCATGTCACAAGCACATTTTTCACATCAAATCATTTCATGCATAAATTCTTCAGTATGTGTGTGCTTCCAAGACAAGAGCTTTTACAACGGTATCACAACATCATTACTAGACTTAAAAAATTGATAACTTCTTAACATATTCAAATATCCAGTCAATGTTATGAAGAATTTTAATTCTTTTCATGACATGGGAAACTCTTATATATTCAAATACATAAAAACAAGTAAGAAATTATAGGAATATGAGTGCATTCTTAAATTTAATATGCATCATTTTGGCTCTCCACAGACCCCTAAGAAGAAACCCAACTTGTCACATTTCTGGTGCCCTACCTGGAACCTACCTATGGGGGCGCTGTGGGTATGTGAGCATGGGGGGTGAGCCAGCCCACTCCCAGCCATACCTCCCAAATGAGCTGTGCTGTTCTCTGCAGACGTTCTCTGCAGACCACTGTGTTTAGCTATACTTGATGGAAAGACTATACTGTATGGGAAGATACAGATGCACATTTGGGGATTTCCAAAATCCTTGTAAAGTTTTCTCCCCAAATCTCATAGATATAGCACAGCAAAATGTTTAATACATTTTCTTTCTATTGGGGAGATCATGCATTCATATTTGTTTATTGAATCTTTTTCTTCTTCCATTTAAAAACACAGGGTAAACCTATCACCTGGCACTCCAGGTTGCTGTGAGAAGTAAATGAGCAAAGCTTGCCAGGCTTTTACCACCTGGCACCTAGAGCCTGGTGAGTCCTTAGAAATGGAGGTAATCATGAGGCCACACACTGTGTCTAACTCGAGGATAAAAATATAAACAGCACTGGTCTTTCATATTGTTTTGACTTAACCCCTTGAAATCCCATCTTCTTTAAGTTCTTAAAGGCCATTATTTCACTGTTCTATTTAACATCCAAGGAAGAAACCTCATATACAAACTATCGTCAAAATAGAATGAAAAGGCAGTAGGACTACAGCAAATTTTAAATGAGTGACTAGAACCTTTTTGAAGCCATCATCCAGGTCTCTCCAACATAAGCCTGAGTGGTAGACATGTTGCTTGCTAATAATTATTTTTGATGAAGATATTCTAGGGATTTACAGTTACATGCAACTAGCTATAATAGACTGTATTAATGAGTGTAAAATGGAGAAAGATAAAAGATTTTGAGTTTGAATCTTTGAAAAATCCACAAATATAACAGAAGTAGGAAGTCAAAGTTGTGTCCCAGCTGTTTCTTGACTGGTATGAGACAGCACTTCCCCTGAGCCCTTCTTCCCCCCAGGGCCTGTGATTCAATAGTGATTGTGTAAGACAGGGCTGCCTATTAAATAGACTATATTTGGATCATGAAGCAGGTGGTGTAACCTGTCAGACACAATTCAGAAAATGCTGGTGGTTTGTAAATATGACTCTATAAAATAGTGCAAAATAAGTATATCCTTGACATTGCTTGTAAAGAGAAGGAAAAAACTCATTTCTAGCCTGCTGTCCTTAGAACTGTAATAGTCACAGGTGACTTAATAAGAAAAAAACAGCCCCAAAGAAACAGGTGCCTGGATGTGGATTGAAATGTTTTGAGAAGCAACGTTCAGTTTTGGGGATTCTTCTTGAAAGAAGAAATGCATACTTCCTCTAGCCTCTCTATTGCCACGCTAATTATGCCCACTTATCTGATACTTAAGACAGAGAAAGCTTTAAGTAAACCAAATTAAAATTCCCATGCTTGTCTAAGGAAGGAAATTCAGTGTACCTGTAGGACTGTCTCCCAGCTGTTTCCCCATGAACTTATGAACACAGTTCTCTCTCCGAATCTCATGTCAAAGCCAGCAGAAGATGGAATCATCCTTCCTTCTCTCAAGGCTGTGTATGTGTGCATGTATGTGTGCATATGTGTGTGCATGTGCGTGTGTATGTGGGTGTGCATGTGTGGGGTGTGCATGTCTGTGCGGGTGTGTGCATGCATATGCATGCATGTGCAGTGTGTGCATGTGTGTGCATGTGTGTTTTACTCTACAATCTATCTCCTTCCTTTTCTTATTCCTAATTTTATTTTATAATCATTATGAACATCTCACACTAGATTTCATACTAGAAGTCAGAAAGTGTTAAGCTCTTTAAAAGACACAAGCAAGTCTGTTCAGGGATTCAAAGAAAATGAAAATATTTCTCAAAGGGGAAAAAAATAAGAAAAGTTATTATGGTATGTAGAGTATGCAGGGATATTCCATTCATCTTGCATTTTATTCTCCATGACAGTTATTTTAAGAATTCTGGAACTGACTTCTCCTCTATTGCTTTTAGGCTCATCAGGAAGCCCAGAAAAGAAAAGCCAAAAAAAGAAAAAGAAACCCTTCCACTCACTTGAAAAAAGGTCTAAACATTCAGTACCATTCATCTCCATAAAATGCACTTAATGAAAGACTTCAATGAAAAAGAGCAATAATTACACGATTAGAAAATAATAAGCAGAGATGGCATGCACATTCTTTTCCAGCTCCCTCCTCCACATCCCAGGGCTACACTGAACCAATGCCTAAACCCCACTGATTTTTCCTGGAGATGGAAAACAATGGCATGGCATGAACCCAGGGCACAGAGCATCACACAGAAATCATTGCCCCTGAAGGTTTTAGGTGCACAGAGACCAGCCACAGATGGTAAATTCAGAAAAACACTAGAGCATCATGAGCCCTGAGTCAACCATCCTCTCGACAGAAAATGGGACCCTTGCAAAAGCATTGATTAGTTTCTATGCAGAATTGCATTTCATCAGTGGCTGATGGACTTATGCAAATACCCTTTAGCTCAGTCAGTATTGAACACACCACACAAGACCTATAGAAACAACCAATCATTCTTCTCTAAATAATAACATTTTAACAAATAAAAACAAGTCCAAACCCAATGTGGTTAAGGAAAATATATTTTTATAAGTTAGCAACACTTACTTAAAAATTCCATTTGAAAATTTTCCATAACCAAAAGTAGGTGAAATTCACATTTCTCCCAAACTGCTGATGCACAGGTGTAGCTGCAGCCCGAGGGAGAAGGCATCTTGCTGACGCAGCCAGCTCCCCTGGAGGCTCACACTCCACTCCATGCCAGGTAGTTCTTCCACACCAGTCCCAGAAATCCTCACCTGCCCTTGGAACAAGATCTTTCCAAAGAAAATAGGAGCCAAGCAATTAAAATTAAAAGAGAGCTAATTTCTCTTCATTTTACTGCAATGTGAGTGTAAATTATCACGTATATATATAAAGGGCTAAATGACCAACCATCCATCCGTCCATCCGACCAGCTGGCAGACCGACCAACCGGCTGGTACATATGACGCGCACTGGCGATTTAAAAATAAACGTTGACTTGCGCATGCGCGATACATACAAAGCTCTCGCACATTCATAAATTAAATGAAGACATTTTGGATATACTCAGTGGAGATTTTCACATCTACTTGAGTGATGATTCCATCGATTCAATGGATGATGCCAAAAAGGAAAATTTTCCCATCAAATTTCTTAATAGTATTACTTCTTCGGGAATGCCATGTCATAAATTAAAATCGAAAGTGGGTGCAATCATCGCACTACTGAGAAATCTTAATAGTAAATGGCGTCTTTGAAATGGTACTAGATTTATTAGCAAAAGATTTCAACGTAACATAATCGAAGCTGAAGTTTTGACAGGATCTGCGGAAGGAGAGGTTGTTCTGATTCCAAGAATTGATTTGTCCCCGTCTGACACTGGCCTCCCATTTAAATTAATTTGAAGACAGTTTCCCGTGATGCCTGCATTTGCGATGACTATTAATAAACCACAAGGACAAATCTAGACATAGTAGGAATATTCCTACCTGAACCCATTTTCGGACATGGTCAGTTGTATGTTGCTTTCTCTCGAGTTCAAAGAGCGTGTGACATTAAAGTTAAAGTTGTAAATATTTCATCACAAAGGGAATTAGTCAAGCACTCTGAAAGTGTTTTTACTCTTAATATGGTATACAGGGAGATATTAGAATAAGTTTAATCAATTTATCAGTCATTGTTTTTATCAATGTTGTTTTTATATCATGATTTTGTTGGTTTTATATATCTTTGTTATCATATCATGTTATTATTTATTTATTAATCAATTTATATATTATTTTCATATACATTTTACTATTTTTTTTTCATCTCTGACACTTCAATAGAAAGAGAGAATAGCAATATTAAAATATTTCTTCTAATTAATTTCCTTTCAATGTGAATGTATCCATGCACTGGGCCACCAGTATTGTTTAAAGTCATCATGTTTGCATCCCTATTTCATCATCATTGATTTTATTATCATCATTAATATAATGCTCACAGGACTGTACCAGAATATATCCAAAAAGCATAAGAGCCATGACCGGATGGCTCAGTTTGTTGGAACATCGTCCCGTACACCAAAAGGTTGTGGGTTCAATTCCCGGTCAGGGCATATACCTAAGTTGCAAGTTCAATCCCTGGTCAGGGGATATATGTGGGCAGCCAATTGATATTTCCCTCTCACATTGGTGTTTCTCTCTCTCTCTCTCTCTCTCTCTCTCTCTCTCTCTCTCTCTCTCTCTCTCCTCTCTCTGTCTCTCTCCACCCCTTTTCCTCTCTCTCTAAAAATATCATTAAAAACATATCCTCAGATGAGGATTAAAAAAAGAAAGTTTAAGATTAAGTATGTACATCCTCTAAAATTTAAACCTCACATAAATTATTAACAACACAAATACTGCCTCTTGTAAATTAAGATTACATATGAATTAAATGCTAAGTAGGACAATTTTCAATCAAAATTGGATTAGTACAACTCAGTTCACAGCCCCATTTCACTGTGTCCAGTCAGGACAACCCATCACGCTGGGGGTCGGCATGAGAGCAGAAAGGAAGGAGAGAGGAAGGAGAAGTCTGAGTGGCTTCCATTACAGAAGGTGAAGAATCACCACTTGCCACTTGCTTGCAAGTGTTCTTGCTCCTCTGGTTCACTGTTCCTATTCATTCGTGTGTGTGTGTGTGTGTGTGTGTGTGTGTGTGTGTGTGTGTGTGTGTCTGTCTGTCTGCATATATGTTTGAATATACCAAAACTTCCATTTTCTCTATATAATCAACATCCCACAGAGAATTTGAAGTAGGTGTCATTCCCACACTACTGTATGTAAGTCACCCCCACACCCTAAGAACTTTCTAAACACAAAAACGAAGCGAGCTGCAGAAGTCACAAAGGTGCACTATGAATGGGACTTAAGAATAACAGTAGCTCAGACAAGAGAGCTTATTTCTAGCTTATTTTAGGTTCAAAGGCTTACCAGAGAGAAGGAATCTGAGTGAGCCTCGAAGTATTAGGATAGGTGATAAAAGGTGTGGAAAGAAGTCAAAACACGAAGATTTGGAAGATAAAAATAAAAAGGTACATGATTCAAACACTTTGGTGTGATTACCATTATTTTCACTACTTATAATACTATCAGCACTGCTGTGACTGTTATTATGACTATGCATGTTGGGAAAGTCTATTGGAAAAAGTTAAAAGCAAAATCTTAAAGCTGAAACTTAAAAACCTAGCATGACGGCAGCAACTGGTTTGTGAAAAGGAAGACCAACAGAAAACATGCGGCAACTGGAGAGCAAATATGGAATGTGGAGGCTTAGAAATTAAAAAATAAACCTGACATGTTTATATTTTAACCTATAGATAACAGAAGTCACTGGAGGGTTTTATGCTGTGACTGATATGATGAAAAAGATGTTCCAAAAATATTAAATTGGTAGTGATGTTTGGATAAACCAGGGAGGCAACAGGACAAAACCTCAGTCAAATAAATGAGGTGTCTTCACTCTTAACACAAGACAAGTAACATGTTATGAAAGTCTCTACTTCCATTTTGGAAAAGACCAAGTAATTTTGATGAATCAAGGCATAGAAGAAAGGCTGTGGCATCAGGGTCAGACGTATGTGTGGCATTTCTCTTCATCAAAAGCTTCAGAGGCAGGTCCCTGTTCAATCATTAAACCTTTGTTCTCAATGTGTCATCACTCCATGGTGTCATTCTGGAATATCCAAGATGCGCGCAGGTCATGTGATTTCCATTAGTAGAATTTTGATCAATGAAGTATAGAGTCAGTGCTGTGAGCACAGCAGGGCCAGGGTGCTTGGAAGGGAGACACATGGGCTGCAAACTTCTGCAGATCAGGATGCCAAGTCCACGTGCTTTGGAAAATGCAGGTAATTTACACTAAGATGCCAGAGGCAGCATGGCCAAGGATCACCTCTGGTGCCCCTGACCCAGATATACAACCAGGCAGAGGCAGAGCTGAAATTTCCATGGTTCACACTATTCCATCCTGTTTAGTGTCTCTCCAAGAGCCTCGTTCTTACCCAGCTTTGCCTAACACCTCCTGTATCCAAAGTGACTTGCCAATGCTCCTATGTGATGATATTCCTCAAGTATTAGAGTGAAAACATCTATTCATTTTTAATAAATTACTAAAAATAATCATTTAGCTATTTATACCATCCTCTCCTTGTGTAAGGGGCTGAGCCAGTGCTCTGACATTTATATGAGAAAACAGGATCATAAGTTGGGAATTTAAAGCAAAGAGAAATGAAGAGGGGGAAAGAAGATGACAGGAATAAAGGTCATAAAAAAGATGCACGCTGTAATATGAGTCTGTGATGACGACCAGGTGTGTAGGGCTCATTCCAAGGGCTGGGGTATTAAAGCTACAGAAATGAGAAAACAGTAGGTGAATTGATAAGTCTGTGTATCTGCCTTCACTATGGATCTTTAGAAGACTGAACTGAAAGTAAAGCCTAAGTCAGTTAAAAACCTAGTATTTAAAGGGATAAAGTAGTTAAAATAAGTAAGAAAATAAGGCATAGCCTAAGGCTGCTGAGAAAGAGGAAGCAGAGTTCTGGGTGATTGTGGGGTCAGGGAGGTCAACAAGAACAGGCCCACAGTTCTCAAGGTGAATGGGACAAAGTGGGATCTGAGGCTTTACCAAGATGTCCAAGGCCACCTTGTCCAGTTAAGAGCTGGGGGAATTTAAGTTTAAACTTTTGCAAATTTCATCCTGAACCTCTTGGCAATCAAACCAAAGTAGAGAAGAAAGTCATATTCCACAACTGGTCCCTGCTTAATGCTGTTCTGCTGGATAATAATTGAATGTCTCACACACACACACACACACACACACACACACACACACACACACACTGGGTGTAATAAAAATTGGCACGTTTGGGATTGAAACCAAGCTAACATTTGCTTCTTAACTGCAGAGCTGTACACGGCCATCAGCGTGCTGACCCACTACTGAGAGGAAGCTCCAGTGAGGCACAGAAGCTTCCTTCACGCACCACCTACAGGCCTGGCTCTGAAAAGGGTTCTGCATTAATAGTCTGAGATATAATGACTTAAAGGACTAATTACAATGGTGAAGAGGAAAAAATGTTCAGGAAAAGTCAGTTTCTCTCTGGTACCAAGTCCTGGAGGATTTCTGTGCTGCCTGTGAAGTTCGAGCTGCCTACGTGGAGGTCAGCATCTCCCACATCAGCCAGACAGTAAATGTCTGAACAGCATTCCTCTGACCACATCCCTTGATGTGGGCATGAGCATAAAAGCAAGGAAAATTGTAAATATAAATGTAGTTTTTTAAAAGGCCAAAGCTATTGCCTGATTGTCTAAATGTGTGTTCTCTGGTGGTCTGACTTGATCTAAGAGGAAAATTTAGAACAGATTATTGCATATATTTCCAGGAATCTTGTAGAATGTTCTAGATTGATATCTAGGCTGAGTTCCTATAGCTTACAAGTTAAAAGCTCTTTGGAAAAATATTGCAGATAATCTATGCTGCCAATTAATAGATTGATTGATTTTGAGCATAAAGGATGAAAAAGAGTAGGATTTTAATCCCCATGCTTGAGTAGAAAATTCTGCAACTTACATACAGAGACGGGCAAAGGGGAGCTTGGCAGATATGGTCAAATTTTCTCGACAAACAAGACACAGGTCCACTCAAGCAGTAGGTCTCAAAGTTCTACACTATACAGCTTAGAAATAAGTATTCTATCCGGGGGAATTTTTAAAGCAGGTGTGCAAATTACCTATTTAAACCACTTAAAATTTTTTCAGTATTGCACCTAAAGGACCTCTAATTATAAGGAAGATAACTTCTTGGTGTACCTCCAAAATAAATTGGGTAAAAAATTAAATCCCAAGTAACTAAATGAGTTCAATAGGATTTTTGCTACAAGGCAATTACATTTGGAGAATGTCTGCCAAAAGTAATGAGTAGGTGTTCTCAGTGATTGATCTTCAGCCATTCTTGCTGAGAGGAGACTGCTCACAAACTGAGGCCACGCCCAGTTTTTTAAAGTCATGCCTTATATTCCTTTTTATTCTCAAGAGCAGCAGGGCATTCAGTGTCCAGAGCAGTCATGTGCCATCAAGAAGTAAGACAAAAAAAGAAGGGAGGGCAATTATCTATCACCTATGAAGAACAGTCCCACCTGTCTGAGGACAGATGCCCTCACTCTGTGTGCTGTGCGGAGTAGATATTGGTGCCCACCTAACACGGAGCCCAAGTTAAGAAGAGTTGGGATCCACATAGGCTCCCCACGTACCTCTCCCTGAGCTTATCATAAAACTGGGTCCATGCTTCCCAGCGTCAGGCGAGGTAGAAAAGCAAGCTCTGCTCCTTCTGTGTGAACAGGACTGATTCTTGCATCTGCTACAACTGCCAGAGTCCTTTGGCCTCTGTCACTGTCACATATCAGGAATCAAAGGTGACAAGAAAAATAACCTAAAATCTATGTCATTGGAGGGTATGTTTTTTGTTATTTTTACAAAAGAACAATAAACTTCTGTAGCCAAAGCAGCAGACAATAACACTGGCCTTCAGAAATGTTATTTTATAAGTTGACACCTGAAATGTGCTCTGAGGTTTTTCTTGAAAAAGGTCTCTACTGGTTTCTGGCCAAGGGTACCGTGAATCTCTGTAGGAGCTAAAGAAGTTGAGACGCCAATCTTCCAGCCCCTTTCCATAAACACAGCCCATGGAGCACCACCCTGGGATTTTTGGAGCTCTGGAAGCTGGTGAGGACTAGACACTGTTGTGCTGAGTTTCTGGGGAGTGATTCTGCTGTCCCTAACACACTATCTTCCTATTACTGCCAAGGCATGAGGGCATGAAAAAGCAAATTACATTGTCTTAGTATTGTCTGAAAAACTTAGAATAAAAGAGACACATTCTAAGCAAAAGTTAGTCCCATCAAGGACATTCAGGAAAGGTGCTGCTGATCCTAATATCATCTACTATTTTCAAGGTCTGCATTATTTGGACTTTGGTTAGAAGGGGTAAGACAATGAGAAGAAGATGACTACCCATTTAAATATGAAATTAAGTAATGCAACCATTGTGCATTCCTTTCATTGCTGGGACCTCACACGGTCACTTCAGTGCTGCAGTCATCTAAAAAAAAGTCCTTTTTAAGGGAAGATCAGTATGTGGCTTGCAAGGGGCAGATTATACAGTAGTTTTCTAATATAAAAAATTCAAACATTACCAGTATGTAGCATGGAACACAGAAGGCAAGGCAACTAAAAGAGATCCCTTAATGAGTCTAGTTTTATCCTCAATTTTTCTTTTTCTAAATATGTAACTTAAATTTCTTCTTCTTCTTCTAAAAACTCTTGGTCATACATCTATAGTTTCCAGTCAATACTTTGCCCTCTTAAACTCAAATTTACCAAACTTTAAATGGATCTTCAAAACTTTTCTCCATCAAATAAATGTTCTTTTGAACTCTTTCTTTTTCTGACCAATTAACTTTTTTACTTTCAAATAGTTCCTACAGGAGCAGCCCTTCTTACATGTTTAACCATCCTTGTGATGAGCAGAGTGAAGAAATAAAATGGAGTCACCATAGTCAAGCTGCTAAATTACTAAAATCATGTAGGTTGTAGTATGAGGAAACCATTCTATTCTTGTTTTAAGGAGCCTGGGAACTTAAACTTTTGAACTTTCCAGTCCTGCCTCAATGCCTGGATATCCATCTAACCTGCAGATAACCCCCTGGCTATCCCAAAGGATTAAAACTAGAATGTTCATGTATCCAGATAGCCTGACATTCATTATCCAGACCACCAGTCATTTAGAGGACCAGCACCTCAGACAAACCCACAGGCTAAAAATGCAGGACTGAGTCTTTTCAAGAATAGACTTTTTAGTATAAGAACTCTTAGCTTTTCTTCCTTCTTCAGAACACTCTGGGTCTTGACTCGTGTTTCTGGTTTGCAAACCCTAAGGCCCCTGAATAAATCTTTACCATTTATTTCTAGCAAAGCCTCCAGATTCTTTTTAGTTCATTCAATACTTGTCATCATAAATTCCCAGTATCATTTTCTAAGTTGAAAGACAACGAATATTCCTTCCTACAAATAACTTACAATTCATTTCAAGAGATATTCATATACACATAGTATATAGAAAAATAATAAAACCAGAAATTACTCATTCAGCAAAGACCTTCTAAGGCAGCGGTTCTCAACCTGTGGGTCGCAACCCCTTTGGGGGTCGAAAGACCCTTTCAGAGGGGTCGCCTAAGACCATCAGAAAACACATATATAATTACATATTGTCTTTGTGATTAATCACTATGCTTTAATTATGTTCAATTTGTAACAATGAAATTGGGGGTCACCACAACATGAGGAACTGTATTAAAGGGTCGCGGCATTAGGAAGGTTGAGAACCACTGTCTAAGGACAGTGTCTACTGTATAACTGAGGTAACCAAGGAAGTTTCTTTTTATAAAAAGTGGCACTTAATTGGGGTCTAAAGTAAAGAGAAGACTTTTATAAAAAGGAAGAAAAGACAATAGCCATAAGAAATGGCTATTTTTGACAGGGTTCAAAGAAGCCATACTCTTTCTAAGTTCCAGAAATAGAAATGACATCGGTTACAGTTTAGAAAACAGTGAGTCATCTAATTTGACTAAAAGAAAAGGTTTTCTAAACTTTCTTAATCATTGAGTTTTTACTAACCTTTTTTCTAGAATGTTCAGGACAGGAAATCTCTTCCCTCCAGTGATTTAACTACACTCATTTGAGGGAATTTATTAGACCAAAAGGAATTACTCATTTCTAAACAGTGTTTCTATACTTCAGGTTCTACAAAATCCAGGTGAGAAGCACAGGGAAGACTTTATCAACTTAGAACTTTGCTCCTTGTGTGGGTGCCAATGAGGAGAAATGAACCAGGGTAGAGAAACATCACTACCCTCTCTATTGTCAGTGGTATTATGAAATGATTAATTAAAACAACCACCTGTATGCAGTGCTCTCTAGTTATACAGCTGTCTCCCATGCCTGTTCATTCATCCTCACAATCACCACATGCTAGTATCATTATTTAGACCTAGGTAAGGCACATGTTAGTATCCCTACTAATGACAATATCTGAGGTTAAGTGCCATCTTTGGTCACCCTGTTGTAAATGACAGGCCAGGTTTTTATATCCAGCACTTGGACACTACAAATGCTCTTCCTCCAAGTTCAGTGAAGAACCCAGGCCTGTTTGGCACAAGTCAATGAGGCCACATTGCTCTTTCCTGCTGGTCCTTCCCTAACTGACATCTCCTATGATTCAAACGCAGAGCTGAGTTAATCATCCTAATCTCCTGCACAGCCAATTAAGTCACAGTATTAGAATACCATGCTTGACTGTTATATACTCCACAGTCACTATGCGCTTCTCCTTGATCAATTACATGGCACATTCATAACATTATTCACAAGAGGCTGACTCACTATAATTCCTCACCATTGCAAAGAAATACAAATTTCCCTGGCTTATAATCTGTAGAATTTTTAAATACCTGAAAATGTAAATGCAAGTTTATATCTACTAACCATCCATTCAATTATGATCTCATGCACATACAAAAGATATCATTTTGTTGTAGGTGCAACAGTCCACAAAAACAGTGGTTAGAGAACCACTCAAGTTGCTACTAATTTGTAAAATAATTAAACAACTTCAAATTACAGAAGGATTCACCCAGCATACATGAGATCGCCTCTTATCTGAGTTTTGACCTTTTATGGTCCACATAGCAAGGTCAACTCTCCACATGAAATTAGAGAATTGAAATGCACCTGTCTCAGTTCTGTATCCACCACTGGCTTATAAATATCTACAGTCTCTACTGCAAACTCAACAGCTCAGGTAAGTCAGGGTGTTTTTCCCCTTGAAAGATCTAAACGACAACTCAAGAGTGAGAAAGAGAGAAAGAATTGAAGTTTGAATGGTTTCTTAAATTTCTTAAAGACTAATATAGCATAACAGAGTCTAATTATCCAAAGGGATCATTAATTTTTCTTAATTTGAAACTATATCTCAAAGTATATTTTATTCGTATTCAGAACAGGATAAGTGGAAAATCAAACAGCAATAATGTAGACCTCATCAGTGCCTGGCCCCTGAGGGAACCATTATGCTACATTCTTTATGTTAGTTGACCTTTTCCTTTCAGTAATCATTAAAACATAAAAATAATCACAAGGAACTGATTTCAGGGACATATATCCTTTGTTTCCTACCTTAAACATGAAACTCAAGCTCACTTATGTGACACAGGAATTCACTTTCGTTCTATCTTTGGTGAGAACAACTGTACAAGTAAATGAGAATAGCAAGGAAGTATCCCATTTCAATGTCTTCCCTGCCTTGTTATTCATCTTCGCCGGTCCACACGGGCTCTTTCTCCTTCAAAGCAAGCTCTGGGGCTATGGAGGAAAAGTGCAATGAACAGGAACCACTTCACTTGCTAGCCAAGAGGATAGTTAAAGGGCTGAAAATTAAAAGTTAATACAATGTACAATTCAGCCTTGGTAAATCACCTTTGAGTTTAACATCTGAGAAGGTCCTATCAAACAATGATGCCCTGTGCTTAATGGCATGTTTATCCTCGCAGCATTCACGAGTTTTGTGCCGACTGAGAAAAACCATACGTTACAATGCAAGATAGAAGCATCGCTATTTATTCTCACTCAGTAAGACAGACAGATAAGCGATAACTTGCTCAAAGGAAGGCAAGGCACAATCAAATGTCATGGATTCAAGATAAGCCAGCTGGCACTGTCAACCAGGCCAGGCAGGCTACCAACTTACAATTCAAATGTTGCCGTGTTTATCAATTTCCTGGAGCAAACATTTACTGTTTTGCCAGTCATATGAGCTAAAATGCTATTACATTCCACTTAGGGGTCACAAAAAAAGAAAAGGCTAAACAACTTGTCTTATATAAACTCTCCATTTCTCCACAAAGGGTTTCCTAGTGTGGTAACCACTGGAAAATAAATGTAATGTGCTATGATTTGGAGTCTTGTTTATTTATAAGATTTAGTTTTTTCCCCATGGCTAAGAAGCCTGAGATCCTTGGACTAAAATAATTCCTTTAACATAAGGCATAATTTTCTAGAATGGGTATATGTGTGACCTGGAACGATTCCGCAGGACCATATTAAAAGGTATTGACCTGCCATCACTAGCAAAGCAGGATCTGAACAGATATTTGTGTACAGGAGACAGCTTGTCTGTCAACCTTCAGAAGTCAGGATGCAACAGTGAAAAGCACAGATCAGTGGGGACAACGGGTTCTGGTGTGGTGCGTGGCTCGGAAGGACATACATTTATTGGGGGCAAGGAGAGACTGTAGCAGACGATTACAAAAACATTAAAAATGTTCTCATTTTTGGCCTACTTTTGAATTTTGTCCCACTCTATAATAATCACAGAACTCAAACTGCCATAGAATTGACTCACTGCAAGATAAAGAGAGAATGACCAAGCATCACAGTGAAAAGACCAACCCCAGGAGGGAAATCAGGAGACCAAAAGAAAACAGCACGTCTGGCAATTTCAAATAAAACCCAGGAAATTCAATATGCACCGTTAATTTTCACATGAATCCCTTACATTGTTTTCTTTTTTGTCTGCAGCCAACTGTGCTTTTTCATAGGACAATTATTTGCTATTCAGAATTGCTATACCAATTATTTCTTTAATAATAATTCTATGGGATTATCTAGTTTCTCCTTTCAAGAAAATTTCTCTTCGCTTTTTATTGCCTCGTGTGACATCCACAGAGGTGATTTTGGTTATGTAGAATTAAAGTATTCATTATTAATAACAACCATACCATTTTAAGGGGCAAAAATGTAAAGTGCTTATAGCTTTAATTCACGTACAGACAAGGAAAGCCAAATGCATTTGATATAAATTGGGAAGTGGATGACGTGGGTAAGGGCCACAGGATAAGCAATCCCCAGCAATACTGGTATGAACACAGAAGAATGATTCACATCTGAATACCCAGGTCAGTCACAGTGAGGAGCAGCCCACACCGCCCCGTGACAATGAGTTTATTAAATTTTAGCAAGGCCCCCAGCTGCTCATTAGCTGTGAACACTCGGGATCACGCGACCTGCTTTTATTACTTTAAAGAAGCAAAAATATGCTTTTTAATGTGATGTGGACTGAAAACATTGATTTATTAAAAGACATTTTCAAAATGCAAACTCCTTTGGGGACAAAGCACTCTGAGGTGTGTGTGTGAGAGAGAGAGAGAGTGTGTGTCTGTTTTGATGGCAAAATTCTCCACTAGGGTGCGTGGGCCTCTTCTATTTGCAAGTACAATCAGTGTATAAATATCCTTGGTGTGTGTGGTCTATCTCCAAAATTAAAACTAGTGCCACCATATTTGTATCCGATCCTCTTCTTCTAGTGGGATTGTTTATATAAGTATAAAAAATGACTTTCTTAGGTTAATTCATTTCACCCCTTCTTTAGACGCGAAAAGCATTGAATCCCTAATATGAAAGCACAGGGCTACTTTGCTGATTACAACATGCTTACGTACTTCACTGTTCATTGCAGACCAAAGGTAAATCATATGTCTTCTATTTTTAGAAGTGGCCTGGAAAAGTCAGGTTAAATCATAGCTGCCCTTCGTGCTTACCTGGAGAGCAGAGGAAGCAACTGGACGACCACCATGCCCTGGGAACTGAGAAAGGACCTCTTTCTGCCCAAATCAAATCATGTTTCTTCCATCCTCAGTCTCCTTGACATTTTTGACACATTACACGCTTTACCTTGCAGAGCTGCTTCCTTTGGTTTACTAGTCTTCCTGCCGCTAAGACAATTCCAGCTGCTTCCTCCCCCAACAGGTACACATGGACTTCCCTCCTGCTCTCAGACCCGTCCATGCACATCCCCCAAATGCAATCAGCCATCCACCACTCCTCTGTCATGACTCTAAGAAAATCCATCCTTGATTTAGCCTGTTACCACCTCTGTGCATCTGAAAATCAAATCTTTCTTGACAACTCATTCTTCATCCAATTCTAAGACTGTATCTTTATCATTCTATCACATAGATTTTCTAGAAAAAAGAATGAGGTTGTCATTTTTAACAGAGCTACATACTCAAATGATTAGCTTCCCAGATGTGTTATTTTGCTAGGGCCCTCCAGGAAAATAGTAATGACTAGAAAATTAGTCAAAAACTAAAGCAATGAAATGCCAGTTTTTATAAGTGATTAGACTATATTTTTCTTAGCATTCACTAGGTCTATTTTTTAATCAAAATCATTAAGGTTATTGCCCAGCTGGCATGGCTCAGTGGTTGAACATTGACCTATGAACCAGGAGGTCATGGTTCGATTCCCGGTCAGGGCACATGCTCAGGTTGTGGGCTCAACCCCTGGTGGGGGGAGGGCATGCAAGAGGCACCCAATCAATGATTCTCTCTCATCGTTGATGCTCCAATCTCTCTTTTCCTCTCCCTTCCTCTCTGAAATCAATAAAAACATATTTTTTAAAAAATCACTAAGGTTCCTTAGTGGCAGACATATTCCAGTTTCTATGAAATTTCATAGATGGGCCATAGGCCCTAAACTCCCTATCTCCTCTCCTGACCTTTAAATCAAGAATTATCTCAAAACATTGACTTTGACAGGGGACACTGAGGACAAGGACTTTACTATGTTTATCTGTGCATCCTCGGCACATTTTTAATGCTCGGTTCTTAGTACTGAATGAATGTGAAGAGAGCCAACTGTGGCCAAAACAGAAAAGCCTCCTGGGGAACGACTTCCATTTCCTACACGTTAATACAACCAGCAGAGGTTGGTGCTCTGGTCCAAGCCCTCAGATTGGGGAGTGCTGGGAGATCCAGGCCCCCCCCCCACAAGGCTAACAGCTGAGTCAGAGCCTGGCCTGCCTCTCACTTGAACACACATATTCCTGCCATCACT